GAAGGTGGGTTTCAGAGCAGGTGAAATTGACCTCAGCAGTCTGACTTTGGGCTTAGGTAACCTGTTGGCTTCCCACAGGGACTAGCGACAGGGAGGAGGAGGAGAGGACCTCTCTGGACTTATCATTCCCCAGGGGACGCCGGGGTGCCCTGCCTGCCTGCTAGTTTCCTGGCTTCCTGCCTCTTTGATCAGATTGCTGGCTCCTTGTCTGTCTGCTCGTCTCAGCAGCTGCACTGAAGTCTGGTTACAGTCCCCTTGCCACACTGTTCCTGTCCCCCCCGGGACTTCCCCTGGCGGCAGCTGAGTTCACCAGCCCCTTCCCCTCCTGACAACCGTGGCTCTGAAAACAGGCCCCCTGCAGGCTGTTTGGTTCTGAAGAGAAGCTAGTTGGCTGCTCTGGGGAGGGTCTTTGTGGCTACTGAGAGGTGGTCACTCCTGCCCGGATCCCTTTTTTCTCTTGTGGCTTTCGTTTCTTTCCCTCTCCTGTGTTGTTTTCCACCTCTCCTTGTGGACTCGTTGCCTGATGTGCACACCCAACAGCCTTGGACAGTGCTTCTCCTCTGAGCAATGTCAAGCACTGTCTCTGGGATCGTCCTTCACCCCAGCCCCGCCGCGTCCAGGATACCAGAGAGCCCGGGTGAGGGAGGTATCTCTGCTCAGAACCTCTTCTGGAGAGATGACCCAGTTGTCTGGTGTAGCTGGTCTCTGGGAGGCACAGGTCACTTACCAGAAGGCTGAGGCAGTTTGGTAAATCCTATCCTGATGCCAGGCAGGGACGGTGGAGTGGGCTCCTTTGTAGTGTTTGACTGGTGTGGGCACATGTGGAAGGCTGTGGCTGGAGCGAACACTTTGCTGACCCCTAAGCTAAGGGCTCCTGCTACGCCAGCCTGTTACACTCTGCTCTGTGTGTAGGGAAGTCGGGATTTTAACTGACATCATTGGATTCTGGGCACGAAATGTTTTGCCACAGGGGCAAACAGTGGTTGGTGCGACTGTGAACCCGGGTGTAGAAGTCCCAGAATGAGATGGTGCTCCCGCCCCATTTGCCTGGGGTGAGGTCTGAGGAGCAGGCCTGAGGACGACGTGAGCTTGTGGCAAGGTTGCTCTTTTGAGACGCCCAGGAGTGAGAGTTCTGCTGTCTGGTCTGAGGCCAGAGAACAACGGGTAGAATTAGGAGGAGGGAGGGGAAGGTGATGGGGGTGGTTGAGGGACGTGGATGGGGCCTCCGAAGTCAGGGGTAGGACTTGTGAAGCTCTGTTTGCTCTTTGTCAGCAGGAAATCCAAATCTCCTCCCAAAGTGCCCATTGTGATTCAGGACGATAGCCTTCCCACGGGGCCCCCTCCACAGATCCGCATCCTCAAGAGGCCCACCAGCAACGGTGTGGTCAGCAGCCCCAACTCCACCAGCAGGCCAGCCCTTCCTGTCAAGTCCCTAGCACAGCGGGAGGCAGAGTACGCCGAGGCCCGGAAGCGGATCCTGGGCAGTGCCAGCCCCGAGGAGGAACAGGAAAAACCCATCCTCGACAGGTGAGTGTAGCTGGCAGGGCTGACCATCGACCACTCTGCCCGACCACCTTACAGGGGAGAAGGGGGGGCGGCCTGGCTGCACGTGGAGGAATGAGAAGCAGGCAGAATCGGGGCTGGAACCAGGGCGGCTCCAGCTGCCGGCCCTGGCCTGGTGGGCAAGTTCAGTGTCTGCTGCGTTGGCTCAGGACCGCAAGCTTTGAGGCTGTGGTTTGCTGGCGGGCTGCCTCTGCAGGCACCGGGGGGCGGTGTGGCATGGAGGTTAAAGGCATGGACTTTGGGTCAGAATCTGCCATTTCCTTCCACTTAGGGCTGCCTGACCTCTCTGTCCCCTCATAGCCTAACGTATGGGGGGAATGGGATGACACAGTACCTGCCCCGTCAACTCGTTGTACAAGTAAATGAGCATGGCATTCTGAGAACCTCACCTCGCACAGTGGATGGCGCCCCGTGAAGTGCTTAGATGTTATCTTCTGGGTCTCAGAATAGCTCTTTGTAATGTTTTATGGATTTTCTGAATCCTTTTTCGTCCCTGGCACTTTTTTCTTTGCAGTCCTAGAGGTTGCATTATGTAAACGTGTCACCTCTTGCTAAAGCTAAAGCAGTGTTTGTTAAAATAGCCTCTTTCTTGGGGCGCCTGGGTGGCTCAGTCGGTTGGGCGTCCAACTTCGGCTCACGTCACGATCTCGCGGTCCGTGAGTTCGAGCCCCGCGTGGGGCTCTGTGCTGAGAGCTCGGAGCCCGAACCTGTTTCGGATTCCGTGTCTCCCTCTCTCTCTGACCCTCCCCCGTTCATGCTCTGTCTCTCTCTGTCTCGAAAATAAATAAACGTTAAAAAAAATTTTTTTTTAAATAGCCTCTTTCCGACTTTGGGAGGCCTCCTTGGGCTAGCTGTTCTGGGGCTTGCACCTTCTTCCCATCCCTCCATTAGTTTGATAGACTTTTCTTCTCTAAGCCTTCACTTGGCAGAGTAGAAAAAGTCTGTTCCCTTTTAGTCTTCTGTGTCAATAGGAGTCAACCATTAACCTCATAATTTGGAGAGAAGCAAGAGGGCAGCAGTGGCTGATGCTGGATCCCTCTGCTGAGCTCTTGCTTTGGGGGCTTCACCTTTGCTTGATACTCTGACAAGTCTGTGCCACACGATTCTGTGGGGGCTGAGCTGCCTGAGGTCACTGCCTCTGGACAAGATGGGCCCTTGAGCGCTCCCCTTGCCCTCTAGATTCGGGGAAGAAGCGCTGTTAGCACTCAAGGTGAATGTAGACCACCTGCCCCACCTACCCACGGGGGCTTCCCAGCTTGGAACAAAGCCCCCTGAGTCCACATGTCAGAGACGCGAGGTCAGGGAGCCAGAGTTGGCTGATAGCCACTTTGGCCTCTGCCCCAGCTGCAGTTTTAAGATTTGGTTTTAAGATTTGGGGACGTCTTTGGGGCGCCTGGGTGGCTCAGTCGGTTAAGCGTCCGACTTCAGCTCAAGTCATGATCTCGCGGTTCGTGGGTTTGAGCCCCGCGTCGGGCTCTGTGCTGACTGCTCAGAGCCTGGGGTCTGCTTCGGGTTCTGTGTCTCCCTCTCTCTCTGCCCCTCCCCATTCATGC